GCATCAGTTCTTATAATATTCCTACAAACTTTTTATATTGTGGGTTTATAGAACTACGCAATCATTTTTCTAGCTTTGGATCTTCAGCTAACATAAATGGTTGTTCTACATGTACAATATACTTAGCAAGTTCTTGTCTCATTTTTTTCTTGAGAATATCTAAAAGTACCAAAACTAGTCCCCCTCCCAGTATGTGTTTGGGTTGTTTCTCTCCCTTCATCTTCCTCTCGCTCATGTGTGAGCAGACGTCTACTCAAATGACCCATACCACCCTTGCTACAATAACTAAAGTCTTTCCTACATTTTTGGCAAACGACCCTTTTCCCCTTCCCCTCAATATCCTCTACTTTGAAAACTTTCCAAATCGGGGTACTCAGCTTAGAAGCCCTCCTTTTTCCCCTAGTATCACTACTACCGGGGGTGAAAGTTCCACTTCCATCGACATCAAATGCATCAGCATCAATGTTAGCACTAATACTATCGTGATGCGATTGAATGTCATCCATGGGGAATATGTTGGGGAATCGGTTTTGAGAAGGGCCAACCTTTTTTTTTATTTTAAAAACATAAAAATTAGTCTAATTCAACTTACCAGAATTGCCAGTTCAAAATCCCAACTTGATTTCAACGGTTGAAGCCTTTCAACGTCCAAGCTTTCCGAATTGAGATACTTGAGCTGGTTGAGCAAGCCTTCTTCTTGTTGAAAGTCGAAACTTCGATAAAATTGAGACTTGAGAATTGGAGAATGCAGAACAGACAATCAGCTAATCAGAATTTCTCAGATTGTAGATAATTGAGAATGTATGAGTATGAGAGAGAGAGAATTAAGAGAATTGTTGAATTGGTGTGATGAGAATGGTGGAGGRTAGGGCTATTTATAGGAATTGAACATAATTCAATTGCCCAAAATACCCAAAAAACTATCTGTTATTTAGTTGTTGGAAGGGGTATTTTGGTCATTGTAAAGTTACTTATAACTTTACTCAAAATGCCCCCCCTAAACTAGTTGTTATATAGCTGTTGGGGGGCATTTTTGTCATTTTTTCAACCCCCATAAGCAAAATACAGAAATACCCTATATTCCTGGGTGAGCCAAGCGCAACCACTCTGACAATCCGATTGTCTGGTCCGAATGGACAGCCCACTCTGACAAAAAAAATTATAAAAAAGGCCAAAAATTATTGACTGGGTTCAATGGTTTGATCGCTCGGATCAATGGTTTGCTGACCAAATCAATAATTTTTGAGAAAAAAAAAACGGTTTTGGAGTGAAATGGAATCATTCAGTTGACTGGTTCCCAGTTTTTTTGGTCCAACCATCCTGTCTGACCCGGTTTTGAAAACACTAATTTATATGAATAGGATATTCTAGATCTAACATATTTTATACATCTTTATTTTTCTGATAAGTTTTTACTTCATTTCAGTCACTATTTGTTACTGTTGGTTTAAGAGGATTCCCACATCCCAAGGAAACCTACAAAATTACAAGATTAATGAATAATGATGTTGGATTCAATGCCAGACTCAAACTGGATGGTTGGACATATAAGCATAGGGGTGATCACTTTTAGCATATAAGCACGTTAAGTTTAGTTTACAGTCGGAATCAGAATCAAAATCTATCATAGTCAAATTGGAATAATCTATCCCTAGTTTCCTACTACCTGTTTGGTTCAGATAAGAATCAGAATCAACTAAAATGGATTCTCATTCTCAAAGAAAAGGAAAGAAAGGGCCATTCCTTCAAATGGGGAATACCATTCTACCAGAAATGAAAATGGGATTCTAGTTCTTCTAAACCCTTATTCCCGTGAACCAAATCAATCCATAGTTTATTTAATATTAATATATTTAAACTTACAAGCCCGAAAGTTTGGCTTGGGCCCGGCCCATTAACACCCTTAGTTGGAATGTTATAAGAGGGAAGTAGGGAACGAGCGAACGACAGCTAAAATAGTTTGATAACAATTGAAGTACCTGAATTGAATTTAAATAATAAAATATTTTAATCTATAATAATCAATTAAACTTCAGTTTCAGCCGTTAAAAGGAGCTGAGAATGCACTAAAAGACAAAAGCAATAAGCCATTCAGTTCAGCCGCTTCAACTGCTATCAAAAGGCCCCTTAGTCCTTTTCTTAGGTCATTTTCCTCATTTTTGAACTTTTATTCTTAGGGCTATTCAGTTTTTTTTTTGGTTCACTTCTAGTAGTGAATCAACCATCTCTTTTATTTATTTATTTATTTCATGGATATTACCAAAATGTTTGATTTTTGGACCAGATTCTTAGGCCTCATTTGGTTTGCGGGAATAGGGGTATGGAATCGGAACCAGAATGGGCTATTTCGATTCCAACAGTTTGGTTGGGTGGAGTCGAAATCCTATTCCAATTTCTGATGAAATGACATTCCCCCATTTAAGGGAATAACCATTTCCTGCCCTTCCCTTATGAATGAAATCCAATTCCTGCTGATTCTAATTTCTATTCCCATTCCTGTCTGAATCAAACATATTATGGGAATGGACTATTCCAATTCTAATTCTAGAGGATTCTAATTCCGATTCTGACTGCGAACCAAACGGGCCATGGCAATTCCTTACTAGTTGTCCACCTATTGAACCATTTATATTTTCTTGTCACACCTTTCCTGCACTTGCTCTAATGTTTCATTTTTTAGCTATGTTGCCTCAAATGTAAATGGTCTTAAAAAACTCTAGTGGGTTTATATCAATATTAAAAATTATTAAAATTATTAGTATATGATTAGATCCTAGAAAAGTTTAGATTTTCTTCTAGGAAAGAAGGCCTCCATTCCAAATTAATTACTCATCTTGTCTTTGATGCTTAGTCGTTTATTGCTCTCTGGTGTTTGAAATTAAAAAGGAAAAAGAAATGAATAGTAAGAAAGAGAGAAGAAAAGGGGAGGTGAAGACAAAATGTTCTTTTATAAGTGTACACAATTATTGTTATTTCATTTTAAGGGACTAACCATGGGGCCCAATGTTTCGATTCCTTGGCTGAGGTGCCACACTAGATAATAAGGGCTAGGGTGGAATGGGCTATTTTCTTAGAAATATACATGGTCCCATTAGGTCGGATAGATCTCACCCCACCATTGACCAGTCACCTCACCTGAGATTCGGACCATTTAATAAACAGGCTTGTATAAATGAGGCCAATATCATAGCCCAGGATTGGCCTGGCCCAGACCGCCTATTTGAAAAGTACAATACTTGCGGCTAGACCTGTTCATGGGCCATGCCGGGTCGGGCTCGAGCCGGATTTTCATTTGTCATTAAGGGAAATATGCTAGGTTCGAGCCTGAGCCTGGCCCGACCAACGGACCTATAACTTGGGCTTGAGCCCGGCCCTGATAAAAAGCCGAAGCCCGAGCCCGAGCCCGAGCTCGAAGCCCGACCTAATAAAAAAAAACAATTTTTCCTATTCAAATTAGAATTAAAAATTCAGATAGTTTTTTTCCTATTTAAATGAACAATGGGCCTATAAGATGGTTTTTTCCCCTTTCTTTTATATTTTAAAACACAGTTTTACATTCTTAAATCAAAAAATTTATTCAAATGGTCATAATCACATTACTCACTTTAAGTCTAATATTAGGTTAGGCCGGGCCGGACTCGGGCCGAGCTATTTTGACAAAACCCGAGCCCGGCTCAAATTTATTGCGGGCCGGGCTTTTTGGCCCGAATTTAAGCCCACGGGCCTATAACCACGTTCAAGCCCGTCCGGGAGCCGGGCCGGCCCGTCGGGCCACCCGGCCCATGAACAGGTCTACTTGCGGCTAATGTGAACAAAAGCATGTACACATTGTTCATCCAAAGATTTTGAAAAGAAATCAGAAGGACAAGCTGGAAGGCAATGGACATTCCTATAAAGAATGGTGATGGAAAGCCATGCATATTCATTCAATTTGGTCAAGACCAAACAATTAGGTCAGGCCATCTGCTTAACTGCTATTACGATTTATGTCTACGTGACCGTAGTACCTAGAAGTATTAAATTAAATAATCAGAAAAATGAGGGATATGTTTGGACGTTCACACAACGATGACAATGTCCTCAGTCTTTCGGTCTTCACACCTCACTGTAATTTTCTCTCTTCTGGGTCCCTGGCTTTCGCTATCGCTGCCCAGTGCCCTCGCATTCGATAGGAACCTTAGTGGATTCCTGGATGGTCCGTGTCCGTTGCTTGGTCCCCCTCTCCGCCTTGCACTTGCATCGCCAGCGGTGGGCGCCAGAGGAGAAGGAAAGGCGGAAGAAAGACAAAGGAATAAATATTAAATAAAATAAGAGAGGAGAAAATGACACATTGCCCTCCTCCTTTGACGCTTTTCAAGATTTCCTTCTTCCTTGCACTTGCATCGCCAACGTAGACTTCAATTCCTCCTCCTCCGTTGGCTCTTGGCTACGTTCAATGTTTTCATCTTCTTTGGTCCCGCCAAGCTTATAATTTTCTTGATCCTCTCTAAACAGTCTCAGTTTTTGGATCCGACCCGCTAACTGTCTCTCTTCTTCATTTTCTTCTTTTGCTTGTTTTTTTTTTTATTTTCATTGGGTTATTGGATTGGCTAATTCCCAACCACTTCAACCCATCAATTGACTTAATACAACCTGCTTTGGGCAAGAAACCCCTTTTTATTGACTATTCATACGACTATCAAACCCAAATTCGGGTTAAGAACTTGAGATAGTGATCACCTTCATAAACTTGACCCGGAATGACCAGTCATAGTTCGACCGGCAGTTGACAGGCTTGATTAGTTCATCTATTGCTTTTCAAGAGTACTCCAACTATTCCTCCCTCTGCCCATAAAAAAATTAAATAAATTATTCTTTCCTAGCTTTCATCTATCAAATAATAATAATAATAGTTCCTTCCTTTCTAAATGTCTCTGGATTCTCCTACCAACCCATAATTTCCAACTATCTTTTCCACAAGAAAGAAGAAAGTAAAAATCTAAATCAGGGACATAAAAGAATAGAATAAGGACCCAAATAAGAGATCAAGGATTTCTAGTAGGAGAGCTAACGCCTCCTCCACTGAATGGACTCAGTCTTCTTCCTCAACGAAGAAGACCGTGCCCGCCTTATTCGGAACATAGCTCAATCTGTTGGCTGTTCCTACTGTTGCTTGTGGGCTTATTATCCCCATCCATCCAAGTATGAATCTCTCTCTCTCTCTCTCTCTCTCTCTCTCTCCAACTAATATTGTGTTTTTCATCGATCGGCAGCTGTTTAATGTCCATGGATGGCTGGTACAATGAAGAAACCAGCCAGCCCATCTCCTCTTCTGGAAGTCTATCCCAGAGGTTCTTTGAAGATTATCGATTAGCACTCTACAACGTGGACAATGGGTAAGGTGGAGCTTTCTTGTGTTTGATTACCAGCTCAAGTTCCGTTTTTGGCTTTGTCTGTAATGCATTCTTTATACTGTACTCTCAGCCATGTCCCAGGACTTGCTTTCAAGGAAGGTCTCTCCTATATACAGCTAAATGAATCGGAGCTTCTAAGCCGAGCTTCATCTGCTACCCAGCGGCGATTCTATCAGGTAATTAATTACGGATGGGTATACACTCAGGAGAAAACAAAGACTGCCTTTTATTAAGTTGGGTCAGGCCTTATGGACAAAGAGATGCTTATGTTGTGTATTGTTTCCTTGTGATTGTTACAGGAAGCCAGGATTAAGGTTCGTCGAAACGCACAACTCTGCTTTTCGTTTCTCGAGTTTCCAGACATGTAACAGTTAAGTAAATGGATGATGGTGATTTTTTTTTTTCGACAGACTGCAGCATTCATGGGCTGCAAAAGTGGAGAGATTGAGATAGGAACTTCAACTGATCCAACTGAGGTACATAGAAAATTAATAATTCCTTGTTAATTAGTCTTCTTTTATTATTAAAACAACTCCTTGTTGTTGAAGATCGATGTAGATCCTAATTACTCTTTTCTAATGGGGTTTCTTAATTATTGAGCAGATTAACATGGAAATGGAGATGAGAAAATTTTTCCCTGCAGAGCTCCATCAACTGCCTCACTTCAGAGAGCTCCCTCACCAACATGATCAGAGCCACCCTTCATCATCTTCATCGTCATTGAGATCACTATCCGTGAATAGCCCTGAGTACTCATCCATTTTATTCAATATGCCAAGTACTAGCAGCATGCCTGGAGAAACCCTCAAGGAAGTACCAATTGATCAGAAAGCAATCAAGTCAATATCCACCGGAATTCTGCCACACCAGCAAACCGGCCAAGCCTTCCCATGGCTTCGCAGCATTCAACACCCAACTCCAGAGAGCGACGATGCGGCAATGACTAGAGCCATGCTCGCCGTTATTTCTTCTCCATCATCATCCTCATCTTATCAATCCCAACAACAACAACAACCACCACCTTATAATTACAAAGTGATGAACCAAAGATGGAGTGCGTTCAAGAGGTACCGGCAGTCGGCTCTCCAGCCCAATGTCCTAAGAAGAGACAACTTGGGCAGGAAAAATATGCTGAAGCGTGCAATTGCGTTTCTTAAAAGCTTAGAGCTAAAGAGGGTCCAAGAACAAATGCAAGGAATCCGCACGACTAGCAATCAGCTACATCATATGATATCAGAGCGCAAGCGGCGAGAGAAGCTTAACGAAAGCTTTCATGCATTGAGATCTCTGCTTCCTCCAGGGTTCAAGGTATGATATATTGATGAGTAGTTGAGTGCGACCTAGCTTCTTAACTTGAACATGCGACTACTAAAATCAATATATATATATATATATATATATATATATAACTCTACTTGATTTTTGTTCGACAGAAAGACAAGGCATCGGTGCTTTCTAGCACCAGGGAATACTTGAATGCTCTGAAAGCTCAAGTTCTGGAACTCCAGCAAAAGAACCAGCTACTGGAGGCGCGGCTTTCGCCTGAAAAAGAAGTTAGTGAAGAAGGTAATACAGTAACTGGTTCTCCAGGCAGAAGAGTAGACATACGAGTTACACATGCAGCTGAATCAGCATCGGAAGAGCGAGAGATTGATCTGCAAGTGACTGTTTTACAAGACTGTGATTTGTTGGAGCTGTCCATCCGCCTACTAGAATCTCTTAAACAAATCACGGACGTTAGCCTGGTGTCAATGGAAGCCCACACGCAGATGCAGCAAACGGGTTCATACAACCGAGTAACCTTGAGGCTGAACATCAAGGTAATGAAGGAAATGAATTAAGATACAATAACAGAAATGCACATTCGATCATATTGATGACAGTGAAACCATCTCTATTCACTTCATTACTTCTTCTTCATCGCATCACAATCATAAAATGCGTGCATGTGTGTAAGAGCTAGAAAGAGAGAGTTATCATCATCATCTTCATCTGAACCTTATTCCAATTATACGCGGTAGCGCAATGACATGAATCCTGTTTCGCCATTTTTGTGATCGATCACTACATTCAGGCTGAAGCATCAGAAAAGTTTTTTATGAGCCATGCATGTATTATGCATATGATAGTGTGATGATGATACATGATGCCATTAATTATTGGAAATTAATTATAATTAAGGAAGGAGATGATGACAATTTGACACTCTTGTCATTTTGTTGTTTGTAATCGTAGGGGAGCGAATGGGACGAGTCAGCCTTCCGGGAAGCCATAGACAAGGTTGTTGCTGACGTGGCACCATAACAAGTGGACGGATTTTCTTTTTTGCTAAAGCAACAGCCAGCCAACAGTCGTCAACCAGTCTGGATGCAGATATATATAATCAATTTTGTTTTATGATATATATAGTGATGTCGCCGGCCCATATTGACTGGGCTTTGTTTCTTTTGTTTTGGGGGGAAATCATGCGTGCATCATATTCAAAGATGGGGAACGTTAGAAATGCCCAGATATGTTCAATTCTGGCTACCTACACAGATGATGACCCCCTCAAAAAATTAACATGGGTCTGGGCTTCAACGTTTACTAAACCCACGGACAGTCTGCTTATCATTGTATTCCTTTTATTGTGTTCTTTTGAGTTTTGAGGAGCCCCGATCCACTGTACATAGCTTGCTTGGCTTGCTTGCTTGCTTGCTTGCCGTACAACACACGGTACAGTATGCACAATCAACAGACATCTGTCCAACACATTGTATTTGTGTGCCGTAAACGAAATTGAATGGTATCAACTATCAAGTCCTTAGCACACGTGTCTTAATTCAAGATGTGAATTGAACCGGCATATCCAAATCCCTATCTTTTCTCTTTTTTAAGTCATTTACTAAACTAACTCATATAGTTTGAAATTGATTTACTTAATCTATCTTTCGATAATTGAAAATGACAGTTTTGACCTTAATGTTGAATAAATTTAATTAAAAATAAAAATAAAAATATCAATTTTTCTTTAGTAAGACACGAACAACCATTCTATTTGATTTTATTTGGTCAAATTTGTTTTTTTTCTACAAAAAAGTATTAAGGGTATTTATGGAATAAACAATCATGGCCCATGTCCTTGAACATTTTCCACTCATTTTAGGTGACAATATTATCATTTTTAGGAGGCAAAACAAACACTATTTAGTGAAAGATCAATTAAGTAAATAGGTTGCAAACTATAAGGGTGTTTTAGAAAAATGAAAACTATAGAGTAGATTTAAATAAATTTGTGAACTATAGAGGGTGTTTAGTAAATAACCCTTTTTTCTCGAGATTATTATCAGGAATCAGGATTTTTTCCTCACATAGCGCTCCTCACAGCACATTCCACCGTGTATTAAGAACTTATTTCTTGAATAACAATACACAAATATGAGAGATGTTCCAGATGTGTGGCTGAGATGTATCGTGAGATTGGTGTGAGGAATAGATCCAGACTCTATAATCAGAACCACCCATCTTACCAACTTTATTATGTCTCCAAACCATTCACAGTGTTTACAATATTATAACGATGCCCTTTTATTCAAATTAAAAGTCCAAAAATAAATTCTTCCATCCACATCAATGGATCAAATTCTATTGCCACCAGGATTTGGGGGATGGATTACCCCGCCCGTAGCCCCAAGAATAAAAAGGGAACTCTTGATGGGCAATGGAACCATTAATGGATTGTGAGATGAGCGAACATGAAATAGTCAAATAGTGAAGGAAACAAGGGAGAGAAATAAAACAAGGATGTTTTTATTATATACAAATTAATTAATTAGTAGGATAGACTAGTTGGTCAAGGTTAGTATTGTTATTAATTAAAAATAAAAAATGGTAGATATGGACCTATTCTGTTATGATCATTAACATTGACTTGATAGAAATTATATTTATAAATAAATGTGCATAGGTGACAAAAAGTAAGGGCAAGTTTAAGAGAATCTTAGAAAAGTGAAGATGAGTTTCAGATTTCAGGTAATAACCTTTTTTTTCACTTTTTTAAAGTAAACATTGCTTGCTGATGTGTGGTTGGATGCCCTGCTCTGATATCAAAATGTTAGCAAGTTTTTTGCTTTTTTTGCACTCCCTAAACAACTTGGAAACCTTACCATGACAAAATCAATTAAGCTTTCAAAGAGGCCCCACAAGTTCCTCTCATCAACATGACATGGAGTATCATGATCTGTTTGAATTTCCCACCCACAAACTGTTCCCATATCCCTATATCTCCCTTGTGAGATCTGATTTGTTCCTCCCTTATCATTCATGAGGAAATGTTCCCAATATACAATAATAGTGTCTTATGGGTATGGATATAAGAACAATTTGTGGGTAGGAGGTTTTGAATGATTTTCTTTATAAGATTTGGATATTTATTAAGATGAGTAAATTTTAACTCAATAAAAACCCCAATCACATGTCAACAATATATATGTCTTACAAAACTCTCTATAATACTTGCCTGAGTCCAAATATCATGTATCTTATATGACTAATATTTATTTATATACGTGCTGCTCTTTCACTAGTAATAATAAATTAAAACTTTAAATGCCTAAAATTATCACAAAAAAGCACTACAAAACAGCAGTCTTTCAGATGAAGAAAAGAATTCAAAACATCTACAGTAGTTAGTAGTGGACTGGTCATGTTACACCACATGAGGAACCGGAGGAAGTTGAGCCAATAATAACATGCCATGTCAGCTTCATAAATTGGCCAAAGACCGGCAATTTTGACTTATTATTCTTACTCCAATTTGTGGAGTTAACACAAAAAAACTAATATATATGCATTGTAAGGTTGTTCCAACTTTCTACCAAAGACAATGATCCCTTGTATTGTAGCGTGAGAATTTGTAGGTCCCACTCATAGAGAAGATGTCATCACAGCCTCACAAATACGGATACCCTTTCTGTGTTGGAGAATCTTCTAGAAGGGATCCATCCACCGGCCCCTGCAAACAAAAGAAGTAACATGAATTCAACTATCAAACCTAAGTATATGTTTGGCTTGATGAAAAATTAAAAAGAAATAGAAGGTTCAAGGAAAGTAAGGAAACTTTGCCCCACAATTTTTTATTTCTCTCATTATTTTCTTCCACAAGACACAGCCTAAAGGTAAAGGGCAGGAACCTCCGAACCTGGAACCCAAAATAGTATGGTCTTTAAAATTGGATCAGATCGGATGGTTGGATCGGAAAAATTGGGAATTGATTTATTTTTTTCTAAAATTAGATTTTTCTAAAAAATCGTTGATTTTGGTCAACAAATCACTGACTTAGACGATTAATTGTTTGAACCATTCAAACGATTTTAACCTTTTTTATTTTTATTTTTTTTATTTTTTATTTTATTATCAGAACGAACTAACAATTCAATTTAAACAATCAAACTATTCAACCCGAGAACCGAACCTCCGAATCGGTTTTAAAAACCTTGCAAAATAGCATCTAAAGTCAACCGTTTAGCAGCACCACTAGTAATCAGTTCAAAGTTATAACCATTAGTTGCCTCAGAGAGAGTGAGAGGAATTAGTATCCACCTTCATTGACCATTGACCAGAATAACTACACCTTTCTCGGTCCATTACAGGCCGCTTCTTTTCTTCTTCTTTTTTTAATTTTTTTTTAACTTTTCATTTTCTATCTCTTCTACTAAATCCAGGCCACAAATGTCAGGGATTCTCATTAGTATTAATTGCACATAGAATTGCTGTGTGTGTGAGAGAGAGAACCATAACTACTGCAATTCAACATAAAAGCCGCCAGGCGCCAGCACATACTGATGTTATGAGTCAAAACCCACTTCTTTCAAATTTACTTTCTACAAGGAACCAATTAACCACTAAATAAGCAAACGAAAAATGTTTTATAATCAGGTTATAAGTGTTTTCCAATGCCACCTACCCTAATCCAAGCCATCCACCAGGTAGAGGACCTTATGGATTAATTACTTTTCTGAATCCTTAGTCCACATCATTCTTCTTTTCTTTCCAGATTTCAACTAATATTAACAGATCGAAGTTCTAATTTTTTTTAAAGACAAACATACACAAAAAACAAGCCCTTATTGTGGGCATGTGACCAAGTTTTTCAGTCTGGAACTACACCATGAATAGATAGGTACAGAGAGGGGCAAGTGAGCTTCTTAATTTGGAGCTTCTAACCATCTTGCCACTAGAAAAATTATTTAGGGAGTCATGCTAAATGACTCAAGTGGCAAACCAGCTCCCATAAATAAATCATCCTTTAATTTCAGTAGTAGCTTGATTCAAAAAGAAGTCCTGACACCAGATTCTGAACCTATTCAATGCAGTTGGAATAACGAAAATGAAATATTACCAGGAGGTTTTTGGTTCCAAATTTTGTTCCTAAACCCTGCCCCACTTATTTATTTATTTGTTTTTGCCAAAAGAACTCAGAAAGCTGGCATTGATCAAGAAACTTCATTACAAGAGGGTCTTGGGCTGCTCTCATTTTCTACTGTTATGTTATATTTACATGCATTATATGCTAGTTCATGAGCAGCTTATTCATGTTTCTATTTACATGGTTTACACAAACTATATCAAAAAAAGGCAACAGATATAGAGCTTTCTGCTTTATAGGCTGGATAGTCAGTCATCTTCATCGTCCCTGTAGAAGTTGTTGACTAAGCTTTCTGAGTCAGAAAAGATGGATAGAGATTTTAAACTCAGATGGTGGGCATATTGTATGCCATGTAGGAGGGCCCACCATTCAGCTTGGAGTGAATTGGATGCTGCAACTCTTCTGCTTCCTGAGAATATCGTAACATCATCTGCTGATTGAATTTCTGCTCCCATTCTTGTCATTACAGATGTTGATATGAACGAACCATCAATGAATAGTCTGTATTTTGTTGATGTGTTTATATGAGAATGCATGAAACATGGGTGAGAGTTCTGAAAAACCGGGCTCGCTGGCAAGAAACGATGCATAGTTTCTATCGGCTGAACTGGATTCAAAACAGGTTTGTTATGCAAAGTTGCATTCCCCACATCCCAAATAAGTCTGAAGAGGACAAAGAACTTGGCGATGAAAACCTGCTTTTCCTCTTTGTTTAATTCTTTTAACTTGGATTCTATCCATTCAGAAATGAAGGCATGTAGAGCTTTGTTTTAAATTTGATCTGGATTTATGCCCACAGAAGCTGATATCCAAACAAACCTGGTTTTGTTCTAACTTTTTTAGAGTGGAGCATGGAAGGATGGACGAGCCCATGATGTAATTTGGCACCGCCTGAAGATGGATTCTTCACTTCAACATTCAACATCCCGGACAAAGCTCCATTCTAGCAATCCAGATTTATGAAAATTAGGTAAATTTTGAATGACAACAACAACCCAGTCTCTTCTTCAAGATTCCCTCCTCTCCATTGTTTTTTCATCTTGTTCTTACTTTTTAGGTATTGCTTACAGCGACAATCAGTCTCAGATGAGATTGTTATGGAGCTTAATACTCCTCTGAAATGAAGAAAGGATCTGTTGCTGATTTGGTTACTTGGAATATTTTGCAACAATTGCAGGTTTTCTTCAAAACAATCACCATGTAAAGGCTGTGGATGAATCCAAAACTCAGTTTAACAATAATTGCCGATAAGGCTCATCGCATTAATATTCTTGATACACAAAATTCACGTATTAAGAATTAGTTCTATTGAAACTCTTTTTTTTTTTTTGTTTGGTAGACATGTCACGTCGGTTATTATCATTTAAAACAATTGAAACCAACTCTTATTATTTAGGGAAATTTATAATTGGTTTTCTGAATATATTGTCCCAAAACCCCACGTATGCTAAACCCACTTATGACATTTGATTGATGCTTTGAAATTTGATTGCTGATATGTTCTTCCCTTATTGTGGATTGACAGGTTCTTTGTACAATATGGTTGATAATTACATAGGTAGAGAATACAACTTGTATAGTTTACTGTAGGTTGAACTCAGATCTAGGAGAACGTTAGGAAGGAGCCATGGAGGTTCGTATTTATTGTCAACCATTATACGTTGTTTATCTATGATGATGAGGAGGAGGAGGAGGAGAAAACAAGAATTTCATTAGCTTTGCAACGCAAATAGATTTAGCATATCCTTGTTCTGGAGAGGATGAAAATATAGTAACTCATCTGAGCACGAGACTACCCTTCATAGAACTTGAGTTGATGGGTAGAGAGTTAATCAGCACATTTGGTGTTCCGTTGGCTTAATTTGACATTTTGACTAGATAAAAGAGGTCTAGATTACAACTACAATCCTCCAGTGAATCTCAATCAGCAATATTTCTCTGTTTCGTGATCCCCCATTCATTTGATTCATGAGCTTAGTAGCAATGCTTTAGTTCTTTGCACTAGTCAAGGTTTTCTTGGGACCTCCAATGTTCTCGCCCTTAAAAATGTGCATGTACCTATGCTTTCATCGATGGATAGAATTCCACTGCTTTTTTTTCCTCCGAAGTCGTCATCTTCAAATCTCTGAACATGAGGTCCTGCTCTGGGGATCTTACATGTAGCTATTTCTTCAGTGGAAATGAAAGAAAGGCTATGTGCATCTACATAAAGCAGTATGCAACACACAAAAATGCATATCCCCGAGAGAAAGATCTATGACCAACTGAGGGCTGGTTCATTAATATGTTAACTATTTATGCGTGTTTGTTTAGAGAGAGAGAGAGAGAGAGGCCTATGCCAAAAATAGCTTGTCAAATAACACGGAGTGCTTTGGTTGATCGCATCAATCTTGTCCGACGGTTCTGTATTACAATACATTGGAATAGCAAAAGCACCTACCGTGGAAGATGTCTAAAGTCTAAGAATCTTCCTTTGGGTAATAAGACGTTTAAGTTGAAGGGTAATTTTGTCATTAAAAACTACTTTCATTGGATATTTTCGGAAAACAAAATCAAGTAGATAAGAACATCTTCGCCCTTTTAAAAAAATGGCATCTGTCTTTCTTGAGAAACAACAACATGCTATTTTCAACGGTTAAAGCAGATCAAGGTAAGTTTTTGGGTGCTTGTTCCTTCTTTGCTTCCTCTTCCTTAAAAATCTCATCTTTCAAAAAAAAACGACCAAGGTAATTTTCCCTAATCGAAATGCCCCATAACATGAGGCAATCACAACCGTTAAATCAGCATACCAGCTATATAGCTATGCAGAAAGTTCAACCCCAACCATTCATTTCAATTGGAAAATATTATGAAAACTCAAGGTTCCCTATCGCTTCCAATTATTTCTTTGGAAATTATTATGGGACAGACTACTCACGATGGATAAATGTCAAAAGTGGTTAAGAGGCCCAGATCAGCTCTATAGTTTCTGCAAGGAAAGATAAGAGACAATCTTTCACTTATTCTTTCAATGTCACCATGCAAGAGCAGTCTGGTGGAGCTCTCAAATTGGATTCGACCCCAGTTCACTTACAGCTCAACCAGCTCACATCATCATATTAGGTTGGTACATTGCAATGAAAAATCAGTTTGATAAAGAACAAGCCTCATCATGTCTAAGCAAGTTTAGCTTGATCACCTACTACATTTGGAAAGCACGCAACAAGTTACTCTTCGAGAGCACCACCACCGAACCACTAATGGTAGTGCAAAAGGCTCTACAGCACTGTTTTCAAGATGATTCACCTTGCATCAGATCGCTATCACACCTCTCCCCTCATCATGCATTACCACTCGACTCATCCATCCCCTCCATGTTTATTGATGGCTCTTTTAATCCAGTTACAGGAAGTGCAGGACGAGGATTCATCATCAAGAACACCACTGATGCATTCCAAATTGCAGGAGGCGGCCCATGCTGGGCCATCAACAGTTATGATGTCAAAATACAAGCCCTTTTAATGGGCTTCAAAGCCGCAAGCTCGAACAACATCAGGCATCTTCTAGTCTTTTATGATAACGCAGACCTAATAGACCTTGTGAATACAGATCGACCAGCGAAGCATTGGGTGGATCAACTTCATCGCTGCAGTCTAAGACATGCTAGATCTGACTTTTTGTCTATAAATTTTGTACATATTAATTGACAGCACAACCAAGCTGCCCATTTTTTTGCTTACATGTCATGCATGGGGCAGTTACGTATCCAATATGAACTAGACGATCTAATCATGCAACTCTTTCTACGAACAGTTGATGAAGATCTCTTTCTTTTGCATAAAAAAAAAAAATAAACGTTAACAGACCAATACTGATGAAAATAACCAGTTCTAGACCATACGTCTAAGCAGGTAGGACAAGTTCCAGGGTCTAAAAGAAAATACAAACTTGAAAAGGCAAGCATCAATTTAAGGGGACGGAAGGTTGCAGGTATTCTGGTTTTGGCTGTGTCAGCAATAGCATATACTATAGATGACAATGGATTCTGCCTAAAACTTTCTAGTTTCATGGTGGTTGACTCAGAAATACTAACATGGTAATGTTACTGCCATTAATTTCTACACATTGCGTTCTTCTTAACAGCTAACACTCATGGAATGAAAATTACATTAATGGAACTGCATTGGCAGCACATACAGTTTTAAAGCTTTCCATTTTTCTTTCTCGAAAGGAACCTGTAGGTTAAATTGCTATATGCACAGTAAATCCAATATATAGAAAAGGGTCAACCAAGATCTTACCAGCCCACTTCTACTTAAGATCCAACAGGAGCAATGCCTTTGGCCTTCGCAGCAGCCGTCGCAGCAGCAGCTGCTGCTGCTGCCGCAGCTGATGCTGCTGCATTTGGTCCAGCAGGTGGGACAGGTGCAGACTGTGAACTGTCCTGAGAAACAGGTTGCTGTTGCAGCTGCTGATGATGATGTTGCTGCTGGGAGTTTACTTGGGCAAGCAGAGCCTTAATCTGACTCCCCGTCAATGTTTCATGCTCAAGGAGGGCATTGGCTAGTGCATGAAGCTCCTTGCTGTGGGTTGTCAAAATAGATTTTGCATTGTTGTAGGCCCTCTCCACGAATTCTCTCACCTCCTTCTCAATAAGAAGTCTCGTCTCTGTACTCATGCTCTTTCCATTGTCATCATAATCATGAGAAACCAACCCAACCTCCTTGCTCATCCCATACTTCGTAACCATAGCTCTAGCTAGAGATGTTGCCTGTTGGATATCCGAAGATGCACCAGATGTAACTTCATTTTCTCCAAAGATGAGCTCCTCCGCTACCCTGCCACCCATGCACACATCCAACCGAGCTAGCATCTGCTTGCGAGATATGCTTGTTTCATCCTTGTCTGGCAATTGGGCAACCATTCCAAGAGACATCCCTCGTGGAACAATTGTTGCCTTGTGAACAGAAAGAGCCCCATCAGTATGAATGGCAACAAGGGCATGGCCACCCTCATGGAATGCAGTGAGCCTTCGTGACTCCTCAGATATTACAGCCGATTTCCGCTCACTTCCCATCATGATTTTGTCCTTTGCATACTCCAGATCAGCCATGCTCACTGCTTTTGCCCCATCCATTGCTGCTTTGAGGGCAGCAATATTGACCAAATTTGCAAGGTCAGCACCTGAAAATCCAGGTGTTCCCCTGGCAATGATCATCAAATCAACATCGTCTGCCTTAAGAACCTGCAAAATTTCCAATGATACTTAAGACAATATTGTATCTAATTTCCTTTGTAATTCAGGTGAGAAAGAAGCTAAAAGGTGGAGTTTATTTCCTTGGATCTTAAAAGATATAGCGAGTTCATGAATGTGATGCCTAGAAGAGAAAGGGAACAGCTGGTTCAGCTGGTAAAGCATGTTATTGCTGTTCTCACATGCCTAGAACATGATAATGCCTTTACAACTCTGTCCAGATAGAAAGACAAAATCAACCTGATAAGATGACCATTAAAATAGTAAAATTATTCACTTGGCACATGGTTGACTCAATTGTTCTAATTTGCAACATGGACATTGCAACTGTCCGTACAGCTCATTACAAGAACTGTTTCAGTTATTCAACAGGTCCATGCTGTGAATGGAAAGCTCAAGTTTGAATAGCTAAAAATCACAAAACATGCTGATCTTTCTATGTGAATCTAAGAGCCAAGAGTTGCTATAGTGGCAGAACAAGACACCAAACTGTGCCACACACAGGGAAATGTTGTCACACACTCACACACAAAGTATGCATCAACAAAATGCTTGTCATCATCCAAACATGGGTTTTCCTTTGCTCCAGTATATCACCTAATCTGGAGATTCTGGACCCTCTCAGATGTTGGGTTTCCACACCTGTTAGAAGAATGTACCAGTTTACTAATTGATGCAGTCCTCAAGGTCTTTTGTGCTACATAAAATTGTATATCTTAGTACCTTCGACATGTGGGATTCCATGATCTGTCTCCGTCCTTCCACATCTGGATTTGGAACAACAATGTGGCGGTCAAACCGTCCAGGTCTCACTAGTGCTTTGTCCAATGATTCTGGGAAGTTTGTTGCAGCAATCACAATAATCCCTTCATTTTGTTTAAAGCCATCTAATTCAACAAGCAACTGGTTCAAAGTCATCTTCATGTACTGTTGGTCCTTAGGGTTACGACTCCCTCCTATTGCATCTATCTCATCAATGAATATTATACAGGGAGATCGCTTCTTAGCTGCAGCAAAAAGATCTCTCACTCTCCTGGCTCCAACACCCACAAACATCTCCTCAAATTCACTCCCACTGCATGAGAAGAAAGGCACTCCAGCTTCTCCTGCAATGGCTCTTGCCAACATAGTCTTACCTGTACCAGGTGGACCAACAAGCAAAACACCTTTTGGGAGCTTGCCTCCTAAACGAGTGAAGCGCTGCAATAACAGAATTGTACAATAAGAACAGCTGAACCCTCTGGGATGGCCAAGAGGCTCTAAAGCATAGAGAAATGAACTCAATAATTAATTTCAATTAAGCACCTTAATGGTAGATAAAATAATTCAGAGTGCTAGACAAACAATATTTCTCACATTTCGTCATTGAAAAATTAAATACAAGTATAAAACATAAAATACCAAAGACTCAGAGTGCTTATAGGAACCAGTAGTTTCAATTTGACAATGACACACCCTTTATGGAAGAGTATTAGAAGGGAAAACAATCTTTGAAGTCTCTTCTTATTTATGCCAATTCACAAGGTATTGTCCCTCAAGGTTACACAGAAAGTTCCAGAAAAGAAAATATCTTGGGATAAAACATCAATAATAGCTTTTTTATACAGAACTGTCCTCTGGATGTGGCTTTCTCTGAGAATGAATCAAGGGAGAGGGAGAGAGAGAGAGAGAGAGAGAGAGAGATGGAAAACTATATATGCTAAGTAGAGATCAATTCAGAAACAAGTACGAGATTATTAATTGGAAGTACATTCAACTCAACTGTTATAGACTCTTCTACAGCTTCAGTGGCTTACCATGTGAAGACACATATGCAGTCCAAGACCTTCTAAATAATTAGACATAATTAGCAGGCAATGTAGTAGTCAAGGCAACTAGGTGATACCCAAGACATATCTCGACCTCCTAGATCAAGAACTTAAGCATGGCCTGGACAATGCCTAAATAATACAGAAAAATATGCCAAATATATCCACATACTAACAATTAACATAACCATGCAGGAGCACAAAGGCTAAAATATAATAAATAAAGTAATAAGGAGACCTTGGTTCTGGTTTTTGGAGCATTCTGGAGCTGGCTTAAAAGTCTTCCTTTTGTTTGGTTTATGTATCTATTTTTTCTATTTCTATTGTCTCCTTTTTGTTTGTTTCGCTCTATTTTGTATCTTTGTTTTTCTGGTGATATCTCATCACTATTAGATGTACTGCTTTCTTTTATCAGTATATTTTCTTTTCCATTTATTACCAAAAAATGTAAAAAGAGACATAAATCACTTTTAAGGGAAAAAAATGCATATGCCTCGATGTGTCCATATACATGCATGTAAAGTGTTTGGTATGCCAAGAACTATTTCCAAAGTTGTAAAAGCAATGCCTAGGCAGGCAATAAGGCACTCATGGAGGGTCGCCTTGCTTAATCGCTAAGATACTTTTTACACAGTGCTCTTAGATACACATTTATATTCTTAACTTTTTAAGATTTATAAACTAAATTATTCAGTTTAAGTTAAAAATACTAGGGCTGTTAAAAAAACATGTTATTCATTTGTTAGGGTTCAATTAACATGTATACTACCTTGAACCCTCTTAAACTTCAAAACTTGAACTGATAAGCATTAGGCTGTTAAAAAAACCACCAAACCAGCCCGACTTGATCCAATATGGCTGGTTTTCAAAGTTTTTGGGTCGGTTTCAGTTCATCAATGAGTATAACCCAAATGATCGGTTTCAGTTTTTTTTTTTTTTTTGAAGAGTAAAAAGAGAAATTTCATTAAACAAAAGAAAGAAATCAGTTCAGTTAAGTTTGTAAACCAAAAATAACCGACCCGAACCTACTGTGTTGGCATATATAGTTGTCTAGTATTAGAAGACAAAAAAGTATATAAATAGAATTTTATTCTAATAAGTAAAATTTAGCCTCGCTCACCCAAAGTTCAAACGTCTCTCTCTCTCTCTCTCTCCATGAAAAGTTGTTTTTCACTCCATTTGAGGCTGGAGCTCTTCTAGACTAACGTGTGAAGGACTCAAATGGTATTTTAGTAACCTGAATTGTCCTGACTTTTTTCCCTTCTACAGTCATACTTTTTTTGGTAAAATCTGCAGATACGATCATATCACTTGTATTGAAGCTATTGTTCCGAAGAGCAACAGAAGACAATTATTGTTCCTAAAAGGAGTCTCCTTCCACTTGGAGTAAATCGTCAGCCATCCATTTGCTGACCTTCTTACCCATTTAAATTGCACCCCAAGCTCCCTTGCTAAGTTTACAAACTCTCTTAGAGGCTAAGTGGCCACACTCCCAGGTTTCTAGATTGCATCCACCCTATTACCAGCTTGGAGTCCCCTTCCACTTCTAAGTGTTGCATTCCCCATTGTTTTGCTAATCTCAGGCCTTGGAGTAAGGTCAAGGCTTCTACCCTTAAGGAATCTCCCTCCCCAATCGGGCCCGATGAACAGGGCCAAAACTCTTCCTTCCTCATTTCTAAAAACACCCCCAACTCCCAAAGGACCTGGATTACCTAAGGAGCTTCCCTCAAAATTTAATTTCACCCTGGATTAAGGCTGTGGTGACCAACTCTCTTGAACTACAGGGGAAGAGAGAAAGGAAACAGCTATAGAACTCCAACTTCTAATTAAATCAGCTGAGGAGAAGTCCTTGAAAAGTTACTGCACTTTTAGCCAATGTAGAATCTTAACGGTAATGCCCTCAACAAGTGCTTCCTTGGATTTTTCTTGCCCTTGGAAAATCCTATTATTTCTCTCTTCCCAAATCGCCCAAAGGACAATTGCTCTTGTTATTCTCCACATTACCCTGCCTCTTTTCTTTGGTTGTTGGAAGAAGCTAGAGTAAAAAAGGTTCAGCACACACAAGGGAGGATCCCACCTACAACCAAAAAGAGGAGAACCAATCCCACAAGTAAGAACTAAAAAGCAAAAGGACAAGAAATCAAAAGATGAGTCACTATCTCACCATTTCTTAAGCAAGGGCAACAAACATGTGAGGAAAGGCACCAATCTGGCCTTTTTCTTTAAAGTACATCCATAGTAAAGATCTTTTGGAGAGCCACTTCCCAGCAAAAAGCCCTAACCTTTGGTGAAACAAGGGTACACCACACTTCTTTAGCAAGAAAAGAAACAAGTGCAACAAAAGGCTGAATTAGGGCATTAAAAAAAAAGAGAAGCAAGAGGAGCAAGAGGAGGCCAAAACAAAAGTTTGTTACCTCCAGCAATGGCTTTCCAAGGGGAGAAATGAGAAGCCATAGGGTCGAGACCAGCATCCCATCCATTTGCTGCAATGCTGTAATACTTTCCACCACCAAGTGCCACAAACTGTCTTGCTCTAGGGGAAACCTCCACAATCACTTCCCTAATAGTGCTACATTTCTTAATTTAATATTGCAAATGCCTAGACCCCTGATTCCTTTTTTCCTAAAAACTACTTCCCACTTCACTAGATGGTCCTTTTTTAAGTCTCCGGGTTCCCACAAAAAATCACTCATAAACTTTTCTATCTTATTGGCAACCTTTATAGGTAATTTAAAGGTAGACAAAAGATACACTGGGAGGTTGGCCAAAGTGGACTTGATTAATGTGATTCTTCCCCCTAGCAAGATATAATTTCTCTTCCACCCTGCTAGCTTCTTAGTGAAGTTTTCCAAAATTGGGTACCAAAATCTTTCTGATCTAGGATTTCCCCCCAAGGGCAAACCTAAATACACCAAAGGCCAACCACTTACCTCGTAGCCTAAAGACCTAGCCACCAATTGCAACTCGTCTTCCCATTTGTTTACTCCCGCTACACAACTCTTATTCCAATTGACTTTGAAATTGGAGACTCTCTCAAAGTGTGTCATCACCAATCTAAAATTATCCATCTCCTTTGGTTCCCCTTCACAAAAAAGTATGATATCATCAAAAAATTCTAAGTGAGTGACAACCACTTGTTGCCACCGAACTCTTTATCCTTTGATTAGATTCCTTGAATCAGCCCTAGAAATCAAGACACTTAAAACATCCACTATTAAGGTGAAGAGGAAAGGTGACAGCGGGTCTCCTTGTCCAAGCCCCTCTTAGCAGGAAAGAAGTCCCTAGATAATCAATTTACTAAGATTGAAAAGTGGCAAGAGGTAATATACTACTACAACCCTTAATCCATTTACACCACCTCTCTTTGAAACCTATGTTCCTCAACGCTTCTAGCAAGAAATCCCAATCCACCAAGTTGTATGTCTTTTCTAGGTCAAGCTTACAAATCAGACCCTTCTCTCCTTTTCTTTTATTTTTTTTTTTTGTAATCCACACATTCTTTGGCTATTAAGATATGATCGACTTGGTTCGGAGAGATTAAAGAGGGGAGAACTTTCTTGATTTTTAGGGCAAGATATTTAAAGATGATCTCATACAAACTCCCAATCAAGCTAACCGGTCTAAAGTCCTTAGGATGACTTGCAGACACCTTCATGGGGATCAGGGCTATAAAAGTAGCATTTGCACCCAAATTTATTTTTCCTCTTTCAAAGAACTCCAAGAAAACCTCCACCAAGTCATTACCTAAAATATCGCAGCAATCTTGATAAAATGCCATAGTGAAATCCCCTCCCAAGCATTAAAAACTCCCTCAATTCAAAAGATTCCACAAAAAGAGTTGAAAACTTCCTCATACTTTAGGCGACCCTATGGTTAGGTTTATTTGCTTCATTGACAAACCTAATGACATTGAAATCCCCTCCCAAGCACCATAGACCCTCCCACATCCCCTTATATCTACTAACTCCTCCCAAAGCTCCTTCCTTTCACTATACGAGTTTGGCCTATAAACATTTGTTAAAGCCCATTCCAGCCCATCATCTCTTCTTCTTAACTTGATTATAACCATAAAGTTACCAATTAATTCTTCTATACAATCCAATTCCTCAATTTTCCAGCTTGTAAGAATTCCCCCTAAGGCACCCCAAGACTGTGCAAAAGCCCAACTCAGTCCTCTAGCTGATCAAATACTTTTCACCCATCTTCTGTCCATTTCTAATACTTTTGATTCTTGAATTAATACAACATCCGGCTTGTCTTTTCTAAGGACTTCCCTTATCACTCTTCTTTTCCTAGAGCTCCCCAAGCCCCTTACATTCCAACTAATAATCTTCATTGAGAAACAACTTTATGGTCAAACCCTAACGACCCCTTTTGCTAACCTAACTACCTTCTCTTTCTCCCAGTACCATCCCTTGTCATAGTCCAATTCACATTTCAATTTCTCCACTTCACTAAATTTCTTCTTTCTCCTTTTAGGTGTCCCTCCTTCAAGCTTATTCTTAGGTTTCTCTTGGTCTACAACTCTTTTCTTTTTCTGACTCCACCTATTCTTCCTCTTTGATGTTTTTTCACCTGTAGTTGTCCCTTCACCCTCCCTTTCCCTTTCCCTTTCCCGAGTACTAGAAATTGGAATACCACCCTCCTATTCCTTTTCAAGGCTAGCCCCTAGTAGGGCTGTTCATAAGAATGCCCAACCCGACCAAACTGATCAATCCGGACCGACCCAACCCGAGTCGGTCGGGTTTTCATCAGTATCGGTCAGTTTCGGGTTGGGCAAATATATAAACCGATATATCGGGTCAGTTTCAGTTTTATTGTGTGAAAACTGAAACCAACCCAACCCGAACCGAACTAGTCTTCTAATAGTTCGGTAATTCCTAGTTTGAGTAACTTCCTACTTAACTATAATCTTTTACACCAAATAGGCAACCCATTAGGCAATTACAAATAGAATTCAATAAATTAGGTGTCCTTTTTTAGTTTTTTACCTAGATTAGGCAATTACAAATAGAATTCAATAAATTAGGTGTCCTTTTTTAGTTTTTTACCTAGATTAGGCAATTACAAATAGAATTCAATTAGGTGTCCTTTTGTACAGGAGCAAAATCGAAACCGACCCAAACCGACCCAACCCGACTCAAACCGACCAGGTCGGTTTGGCCTATCAGTGGGTTGGTTTTGGTTTCCACCTCAGGTAACCCGACCAAGTTGGGTCGGTTGGGAAAACCCCAATAAACCGACCCAACCCGACCCGTAAACACCCCTAGCCCCTAGTTCCTCCTCTACTAGAAGTCTAAAGGGCTGCAAGATTAATCCACAAATCCTTTCCCCTTCCTCCACAAATTCATGCAAAGCCTCCAAATCCTCTAACATCCCTGTTAGGCTGTTACTTCTAGTGAATCACTAGGACAGGCAATTTTTGGGTGAGAACCGACTTCACCTGTAGGCTATGACGAAAAAACAACTGAGGAAAGGGAGATATTAGCACCAAAAACGCAAGGAAAACTAGAAAAATGACAATCCATACCAGAATCACCAATACCTGAAGTGTCTTCAATCCTGCCTAAGTTCAAAGAGAGTTTGCTGGGGGGAAGTCTCCCGATAGGCTGTATTTGGTTGCAATGCAAATAAATTTGCACTGATGCAAAATCATGGTAGTGCAAATGATTTAAGTGTAAATACTGACCCATTTTTGTTTCAAATTTTAACTTGTTTTGTTTGATTACAATACAAATGAAGTAAAATAAGACATGAAGCAAAATAAAGTAAAATCCAAAACAACTCTAAATGAGAATTTGCATTTTTTTTACATTTGCACTCCCATGCATTTGTACTAGTGCAAATAAAATTGCACTACAAACAAACACAGCCTTAGGATCAAACTGCGTTGCACTAACTGGGTAGAAGGGGATGTCTGTTTCTTTGCCATTCAAATTGGATGACGACGTACTCAATCTACAAGACACCTTGACCTTGTTCTGGACCTGTGACAGGTTCTTCTCTGTTTTGGCCAAGATGTTCACCTTACCTGAAGTACTGCCTCCCATTCCCAAACTCTTCCAAAGTTTATGTCCGCCAAAGAAGAGCTTTTCTAGCATCTACTTCTCACACTTCCTATGTTGGATTCCTCAAGGAAAGCATCATCTTCTTCCTTTTCTTCTTCACAGTTTACCCACTCTAAGTCAAAACCATCTTCATCAACCTTCTGCCAATCAAACTTTGGATTTGTATGCTCCAGAGTTGTGGAATAGGAGCCTAGCCTCGGTCTCCAGTTGAAAATCCCCATCGCTGTTGCGTTTGACTGACCTTTCTTCGAACCAGGTCTTGAACTGGAAGATGATAGACCTAAACAATGGTCTATCACCTTCGGCCCTGCCTTGGTCACGTGACCACTTAAGTAGTCACTTGATTTCCTGTGTTCCTTCGGCCCAGCCCCGATCTTACTTCTTGTAACATTTGGTAATGGCCCATTTCAAGCTGCCTTTGGTTTGTCTAAAGGGCCACTCCCAGCTGCCACATGATTTATCAAAAATCCCTCGTCCCCACTATGCGAACCAGGCGCAACCCTCATCGATTTAACCAGCTCAACACTTGGCCTGATGTTATTCAAACTCTACACCACTCTACCAGATCTTTTAACGTTTGGCTCATTAAATGCTCCATCTGTCACTATGCGAACCAGGCGCAACCCTCATCGATTTAACCAGCTCAACACTTGGCCTGATGTTATTCAAACTCTACACCACTCTACCAGATCTTTTAACATTTGGCTCATTAAATGCTCCATCTGTCAAAGCTTGGGCATAGGTCCTGCTCCTGCCCCTGGTTCCTTTTCTACTACTGCTATTAGTTTCTTTCCCCAATCTGCCTTTTTTTATCAGTAACAAGAAACTTTATTAATGATATGAAACTATGTGAAACTTTATGTACAAGGGGGGAGGTAAAATGTCTTAACTCCGCACCAACAAATACATTGGAAGAAAGTCAAAAGTTAGCCCAAAATATAGATTCCCTATTCACCCCTTGCTTGGCTAACCCATCAGCAAATGAGTTAGCAGTCCTCTTCACCAGCTGTAATGCACCACAATATCCCTACTCAGTCATTTGAATTTTTTATTCTCATTGTTATAACTCCACAACCCACTGTTTTCTTCCTTTAGCCACCTAATCACCACCTCTGAATCACCTTCAAGGACCAAACATCTGATGTTCAAATCTCTTGCTCTTTGGATACCTTCTAGGGCTGCAGAAATCTCAGCCCTAAGAGAGTCTCCTTCTCCAATTGGGCCTGAGAACATGGCAGTGATAACCCCATCCTCAGTCCTGAACACTCCCCCAATCTTCTTTCCCCAATCTGCCTTATCCTCTCTATAAGACAATTTCCCAACACCGAAAGCATTAACCAGCATACCTGTTGCTTCCTGTTCTTTCTCAGAAGCAATAATCTCCTTTTCTACTATGGGTTGTTCCAAGACTCTCTTCCTTCTTCAAGCTCAAGAACTCCTGCAACAAATTGTTAATCTCCGCCCAGATTAATCCCTTTGGCTCAGTTTGGAAAGAGTACAAATACAAATATGTACAGTACAAATACATGCAAAATAATAAAAAATACAAGGTTTTACACTCTACATATTTTGTATTTGTACTCCTTCCAAACTGTCTTTTCTTTTCTCCAAAGCACTCAACCGGAACCAAGAATTTTCCCTTGTTATTCTTTTTGAAAATCAGATACATGCAAAATAATAGAAAATACAAGGTTTTACACTCACTTTAGTCTTTTTGAAAATCAGATTTTTCGCTTCAGCCTTCAAAAACCTTCTCCATGTCAACTGCTGCCCGAACTCCATGTTACCCCTTCCCACCCCTTGTTTAGCAAGTACATCAGCAAATGTATTAGCACTTCTCTTCACTCACCAAAGCCTCACTTCCGTATTCTGGGTCAACCACTTAAAGAACCCCCTATTTTATATGAAAAAGAGACTACCTCTAATCATAGTTGTCAAGGCAATGCCTAAGCAATAAGGTGCTCATGAAGGGATGCCTTGCTTAATCACTAAGATATTTTTTTATAGAGTGCTCTTGGATACTTTTATTTTCTTAAGCTTTTGAGATTATAATATTAAAACAAACATTATTAAACTAAATCATTCTATTTGACTCTTGTTGATACTACAAATAACACTTGCTGAGATCTTTACAATTTCCTTGAGAAAACATCTAATCTCGAAAGACCTTTCTAAGAGCTTAATAGTGTGTGGACAGCCTTGCTAAAGCTTTTGTACATCCTTCCCATTTCTTTTGCAATAAAAGTAATTCTTTCCTCAAAAAATTATTAAGTTACGATACTAGTTTCTTTTTATTATTTTTCTTATTTATTAGGGTTCAGTCAACATGTATAGCATCTTGAACCCTCGAAGACTTCAAAACCTGAACTGATATGAATGGAAGAACTCAAAATTTTGTCCAATCAAGACATATTGATAATTTTTTTTGATGAATGACACATATTGATTATTCCTTTCTTTTCTTTTCTTTTTTCTTTTTTTGCTTTCCTATGACAAAAATTAGAGGTTCAGCCCCTCAACTTTCTGGAAAAAAAAAAGCATCTAAGTTGTGTGTTTGTGTATGCAGATGATGCATATCACTAGGTGATAGCCAGTCATCCACTACTAGTGTCAGAATCAACAATGTTGACTGCTTGTTTTGTGCTTAGGCAATGAATTTGAAAAGGGTGATAGCTTAGGCATCGTCTTGACTACATGATCACAGGATTCTAATTGATGCATTCATTCAACAAAGCAGTTACCTTAGGATCCCGGAGATAATGAACAATCTCTTCTAGCTCAGATTTGGCCTCATCAACACCCTTTACATCACTGAATTTTGTGTTTGATTCCATGCTAGGTTGCACCTCTTCATTTAGTCCAAGCCCTGGAAAGAGTAAAATACCAAAAGGGAAAAAAATCATAGAATTTCAAAGTATCTGAATTACTTCAAATAAGAATAAAAGAAGCAGCAAGCAATTATAATACCTTTACTGATTCCTCTATCCTCTATCAGCGCTCCAACACCAGATATTAGAAGGAAGGCTAGTGCAATAGTACGGAATGTACGCCACAATTGCTCTTTGAAATGCCCACCTTCTGCTGTCACCATATGAATGGGTGCACTAGCAGTTCCAAGGACTCCCTCTTTTGTAGACCTTCCAACATTCCTCAAAGCTGAAAGGCTGCCGATACCTTCTTCTTCCCTTGCTGAATTAACAGTTCCAGTAATACCTGCATGCAATGCTATTCTTGTTTAGTCATCCTAAAAGGTTTCAATTAAAAACCATGACAAAAGGGGCAAAGAAGAAGAGGGAAAAAAAGAACAAAGACAGAGTCACAGAAAAACCCAGAGAGGAAAAAAGGGAGAAAGAGAAGTTCAAAAATAAATTAAATTTCTCTTTGCATGTGAAACCAATAACAGAACCTGTAAGAAGCAAGCTATAAAAAGCAATTAACAAGATGAAAACAAAAACCTCCAGGACCAACTTCCTGCTACAGTAAGAGAAAACAATCCAAACTTACATTAAAAAAATTAAGCATTTTGTAAAAGATACCTATAACCAATAATAAAGTTCTAGGGGTTCCAACCTAGTAGAGATGGCCTGTAGAAATCAATCCTAAAAGCTCCCCTATAAAATAAACATTTTTATTGAAACAAAAAAAATGCAGGTTAATTGTTTTTGCAAATGGATTCTAGATTTTCCAACAGCAGTTCCGACAGGATTATGTAAATTCCAATTTTATCTTCACTGAAGATTGAACATTGACAAAAAGGATACCAAACTGGTACTCCCTGAACAGAAAAATAGAATAGCATAGATCAATATTTCATTGTTTCCTAATTATCAAAAAAAAAATATTTCATTGTTTCCTCACCTTGTCTCTCCCATTCAAGTTAGCAGACCAAGCCAATCTCATTGAATGATCCATAGAATGATCAAAAAGTAGAAACCTATGAAGCATGGACACTTCAAAACGGGTTCCCTGAGGCTGTGTTCAGTTTTTAATATATTTTGTCTCCAACACCATGTCCATGTTGTATATTTGCCACATGGCCTGCATCTAACATGGGTGGAAACTTTGCCCAAGACTTCAAGCACACCAATAAAAATACTGGACAGCACTCAAGTAAACATGGCTGTGTGTATGAGAGAGAGAAGGGGGTGAAATTCTCCAATGAATAGTCACATAACCTTATTCTTTCCTTTTTATCATAATAGTGGGATTAGAATTCTTTACTTGGAGAGAATAAGCCGAAAAGGTCTCAGGACTAAAACAAAAAACATATCATGAAATCCCAAGGCCCACCCAAAACACATCCACCCTATACAACCCAAGTCACTAGTCAGGAAAAGGAACACCGATAAAGCCCTCTTTCTATGCCATGAAACGTTATCTCTAACAAAACACATAGAACCCTGATACTGATATCACTTAAAAGGAAAGTATGTGTCACATAACCTTTGATGGATCAATTTTTTGTGATGGATCAATTTTTGGTGCCAAGTACCTCGTCATTTGGTCTGCTTCCAAGTGGTCGATGACTTAGAGACCGAAGTGAACTTTTGCTAGATGAGGACCTGGATACCGAGCTGACCAGGCCGAGTTGGGGGCAGATTAGGTCCCGAGTTAACTGAGCCAAGCTAGGCAGGTTAGGTGCCGAACTGACTGTGCCGATCTAGGTAGGTTAGGTGACGAGCTGACTGGGCCGAGCTAGGCCGCCACGTCGCGCCAGGGCCAAGCCGCCAGGTCGTGCCTGGGCTAGGCCACGAATTCGCGTCTGGGTCAGGCCGCCAGGTGGGACACCATCAACTTGGCTAAGGCAAGTTGTTGCCTAAGTTGTTCCGAGGTGCCATGTGTCACAATATCATTGGAGGGCCAAATCCGCCCTCATCAACCTTCATTCACCAAAAGCTCTAATCTCTAATCTCATGAATAAGGATAAAAATGCACCAATCAAAGCTATGAAACACAGATACGATAAGTTAATTAATAACTAATAAGTAATTCGGCATCCATTTGAACAAATCTTATATAAGGTATACAGGAAAGCCAAAGGAAGAGGATTTTGTACACATTCCTCCCTGCTCCTAATGATGGGTTAAAAATTAGGTTTATTGGTACGTCATTTCCCATGTAGCTGACATATTTTTCCTAAAACCCCAATAAAAAAGTATTAAAACAAGGATCTTCAGGCCCTACCCCTTTCTATGTAGACCAGGCAAGGGATGGAGTAAGTTCAGTAGGATATTGGGTGGTAACTCATCCCATATCTTTTCCTTTTTTTGGGTTAAAGACCAATCCCATATGAAACTATTGCCATTCTTTACCTAAAATCTTACTTCAAACCACTTCCCATGCAAGGCATCTTGAGAATCCAATGATCACAGTACAACCTTTAGGTCTCTTTTAAAAGCATCTATTTGAAACCAATTTACCTATGACATCTAGAGAGAAAGATCACAAGCAACCAAGTAGCTATACCAGTTCATAGAGTACGCACACCATTTGTTGAACATATATTCATATAAAAGGTAACAACCCAGACCATCTTCTAAAATCAATCACACGTGTAACTATGTCAAGGATTCAGATTCATGTTACCAAAAACGCGGTAATGTTTTCCACTCACCTCTCTGCAATGTCCTAAGCAGTTCACTTTCACCAAGCCTATCAACTTTCACCAATGCCTTTACATATTCAGCAAGTGCTGATGGATGAGAATGTAGCGAAGGCTGACTTTCAAAAAGTCTTATAACTCCTTCTGGGTCATTTCGCCGATAAAGCTCCTTCAGTAGTGTGGCATCATTACCTCCATCTGAATCACGTACTCTGCGAGCTAAATTACCAACATAGCTTGACTGAAATCTTTCTTGGAGAGATGATGTAAGCCTCTTCCCTGCAGACACAATGAAAATGGCATCAGAGAAGGGTAACTAGCATAACACAGTGACAGTATTATGTGTTGTGGATATCTTGCTAAAATGACTCATAAAGAAACACCAAAAAACTGGTTTAAGAAAAAATAACCAACTCAAAGACCTCAAGCAAAAGAAGCAGCCTTGGTAAACAAAAAGAACCAAGAAGCCAGTCAGCTATTAACAAGGCAAAGTATTTGCCCTATACAAAAAACCATTCCTGATCCTGAATTAGCTTAAGGCATCTGTGCAGTGGGATTCAAACATCTTGGTAACCATCTACAGTTACAAATCAAAGCATGATTGCCTTCTTTGAAGAAAAAGTCACCTTTTGGAAGCAAATTAAATCCCATTTACTTCATAATATGTGGGAGGACAGGATTCAATTGAAAATAAGTTCCAATTTCCATAAAGTAGTAATGATCATAGTTGTCAAGGCAACACCTAGGCGACAAGGCACCCTTGGAGGCTTGCCTTGCCTAATCGCCAAGCAGTTTTGTGCATTGTTTTATAAAATACCTTTATATTCTTAATTTTTTGAGATTATAAATATAAAATAGACATTTTTAAACTAAAATATTCATTTTGTGTGTTTATATACTAATTTTTTTATTATTTTCTTATTTGTTAGGGTTTATTCAACACAAAATTGCAAAATGCTTCCTATAACAAAATAGGGGTTCAGCCCCCATATTTTTGAATTTTCTTTTCTTTCTTCTTTCACTTATGAGTATGTTGATTTTCTATACTTTAACATGAAGTCTATACTTCCATACGAAAATTATGGATAATTATTAAGGAAATATGGTTATGGAACCTAAGGAACTACCCTAGGATATATGTTATTACTTAAAAAAATCCATCGCCTACGCGACACCTAGGCAACTAGGCAGCAAGGCACTCCCCTGTCGCCTAGCCTCACCTTGGCGCCTTGAAAACTATGGTAATGATCTACACCATTAAGAAACTTTTAAAAGAAGGACAACAATAAGAAACACTAAGGTAATTAAATAATATCTGTATAAAAAGGCAGCCCAATGCACTAGGCTCCTGCCAATGCAGATTTGGGGAGGGACAGATACACAATATCTATATGCACAGCCTAATTTCTATATACAGAGAGACAGATAAAATATCTCTGATATTAATGACCAAAGTAATCATTTAAATCAGAGTGTTTTCATGGCAATACTAGTTAAGCCTTCTACATGCAAACATGTAAAGGGGCTCATTGTATTTTTATATATCATCATCATCATCATCCATGCCAATGATGATATATGTTTTCAAATAAAAATGCAATGAGCCTTACCTTATTTTTATTTGAAAAAAGTTTTCTATCAGTAACCATCATCCAATGATTTTATTGTGATCATAATAGAATAAGGAAGATCCCTATATTATATTTCTTAAGGAAGGGAAACACAATAAACCAATCCCTCCTAGGATAGGAGCTTTCTGTTGGAAAGCTATACTAAAAAGGTGCAACATTTGTGATCTTCAAAGAAAAAGAACTAATTGGCGTTTATCTCCTAATTGGTGCATTCTTTGTAAAGCTAATGGTAAGAACTGCTTTCACTTTTTTTATCAAAGAAGATAAGCTGTTACATGCATCCCTTGGAGAGGCGTGAGGTGCAGCCTCTCCTAAACATTATAGTGAAACAAGAGAAACAAGAAAAAAGTTACAAAGTTGCCCAAAATAGCTCTTCCCTAGATACCCCTTGTTTGGCAAGAAAGTCAGCGAAAGCATTTGCCAACCTACTCACCCATTGGACTCTAATTGTCATGTGTCTTGAACCATTTAATTTTTTTCGTAAGATCCCTGTGACTCCAAGTAACTGAATTTGGGTTCAGCAACCAACCCACAATCACCTTAGAGTCCCCTTCAATCAGTAATTTTTCTACCCAAAGTTGATTGGCAATCTGAATTCCTTGTACAGCAGCCAACAGCTCAGCCCTTGTAGAATCCCCTACTCCCACTGGGCCTGAAAACAATAAATATATTGCTCTCCTCAATTCTCAAGACTCCTCCAATCCTTGACAATCCTGGATTGCCTTAGCTGCTCCCATCAAAATTCAGTTTCATAAAACCTTCCGGAGGAGGTCCCTAAACTACTGCAGATTTAATTTTTTTAGAGGACATATTAGCTATTACAGTCCAGCTTCTCCAAAAGTCAGCGAAGGAAAAGGAAGTAAAGGAGTCTAGGGTTCTTAACCAATATATAGCTCTAGTTAATATACACTCATTCACTGCTGAAAGGGTTCTCTCCTAGTCAAGAAAGATTCTAGAATTCCATTCTTCCCAAATAGTCCACAGCATGGCTGCTTTGAGGCATTTCCACATGCACCTCCCTTTTCTTGTTGGCCAACAAAGGTAGACGAGCTAAACAACAATTTTACTTCTAATGGCAGAATCCACCTATAACCAAACAAATCAGACATCCAATCCCACAAAACTGCAGCAAAGGGACAGGAAATCAGTAAGTGGTAGCAGTCCTCACTATGGGTTTTACACAATATGCACCAGTTTGAGGATAGACACAAAAAAAGGCCTTTCTTTTGCAAGTTTTCCAAAGTATCAATCTTTCCATGATACACCTCCTAGCAAAAGAAAGCTATTTTGGGAGGAATAGGCTTGGTACAAAACTTCTCACACAGGGAAAGACCCAGGAACATTACTAGAACACAGGGATTTGAAAAAAGAAGCACAAGTAAAAGATCCTTGGGAATCAGGGGCCCACACTCTTTTATCAAAAGAAGAAGGGTCTAAACAAATATTGCCAAGAGAAGAAAACAACTCAGTGACACAAGGAAGCTCAGCCTCCTGCAAAACTCTAGGAAATCCAAAATCCCAATTCAAAGAAAGAGGAAGGTGGAGGGGAGAGGAAAGAGAAAATAGGCTCTTTTTTATAAAGGGAAAGAGAGTAAAGAGAGGGGAAAAGATCTTTGAGAAGCAAATTACCCACCCAGGTATCTTCCCAAAAAAAGAACTAGATTGCCCAAAAAAACATCATACCTTACAATATTGGAGAAATTTGGGAAGAATGCCATGTATTGCCTTCCAAGGAGTTGATAGGGTAGCCCGACAAGATACTCCAGCATCCCAAACTGGGTCAGAACAATCATGAATGCTAACCACCACCCTATGCCACAAACTCTCTCTCTCCACCGGCCATCTCCACAACCATTTCCCCAACAAGGCTTCATTTTTAATAACCAAATTCCCTAAACCTAGCTCCCCTCCCTTTTTGCTACGACTAACTATCTCCCAACTAATTAAATGGTCCTTTTTTTCACCACCTACTTCCCACAAAAAATCCCTCATCAACTTTTCCAATTTTCTAGCCTCCCTAGAGGGGATCCTAAAAACAAAAAGGAAGTACATCGAAAGATTGGTAAGCGTGGCCCTGATCAAAGTCACCCTTCCCCCCAAGTAAATGTAATTCCTTTTCCATGTTGCCAGTCTTTTTACAAATTTCTCCACAACTTGATTCCAAAAACTATTTTCCTTGGGATTCCCACCCAAAGGTAAACCCAAATAAGTCATGGGCCAAGAGGCAACAGAGCACTCCAAGCAAGCAACAATGGAGTCAACCTCACTATCCTTCAAATTGACACCTACAACACAACTCTTTTTGACTTTAGGCAATGTTTGGTTTGAAGGAAAAGGTAGGGAAAGGAAGGGAAAGACAAGGAAATCTATATAAGGTTTGTAAAGTTTTTCTACCTTTTCCTTCAAACTAAACACTGCCTTAAGGTTGGAGACACTCTCAAAACTAGTTATTAGATCCTTAAGGTTGCTCATTAACCTCAACCCCCCCCCCACCCACCAAATGTACAAAGTTTGTTTACTTATGTTTCCGTCAAGGGGTCAAAGAAGAGGGATAGAGTATTGTGGAGGTGCACAAGGGCTGATATTTGATAAACACTATGGGAGGAAAGGAACCAAAGAATTTTCTCTATAAAGTAAACATAGTTGTCAAGGCGACCCCTATAACAGAAATAGGGGTTCAGCCCCTATATTTTTTTAATTTTCTTTTCTTTCTTCTTTTTCTTTTCATGAATATGTTGATTTTCTATACTTTAACATGAAGTTTATACTTTTCTTATGAAAATTATGGATATTTATTAAAGAAATATGATTATGGAACCTAGGGAACTACCATAGGATACATGTTTTTACTTAAAGAAATCCATCGCCTAGGCCTGCCTAGGCGAGTAGGCGACAAGGCGCCCCCCTGTCGCCTAGCCTCGCCTTAGCACCTTGAAAACTATGAAAGGAAAGAAGTAGAGCTTTAACCATTGAAACCATCAATGTTATGTTCATTAGTGATGTCTTTAGAATTATTTAAGTGTATATCTCCAAATGATTTGTTCAAGAATTGGAAGGAAGTGGCTAATTCAGCTCCCTTTAAGTCTGTGGCATGTCCAATTCAGTCCCTAATGTATGTTGGTTGCAATAAATTGAATTTTGAATATCAAAAAGTTGATTGTTGAAGGCAACTCTAAACTGGGGTTGTTTTGGACTCTTCAAAAAGGGATAGTAGAATTTGGACTTTGTCCCCCTCTAGGCTTTTCCTTGTGCTTCTTTCTTTAAGTCCTTGGCACAACAGACCAAAAATTCTATCCAATCTTTCCCGGTTAAAGAAATATGGGGTAAGCCAATCCCTCCAAGGGTTGGAGCTTTTTGTTGGGAGGCATTCCTGAAAGATGTAACACATGTGATTTACTCCAGAAGAAAAGACCAAATTGGTGCTTGTCCCCAAATCAGTGCACCCTCTGCAAGGCTAATGGTGAAAGCTCCTACCACTTACTAACTTCCTGTCCTTTTGTTTCTGATATATGGGAATGGTTTATTTCTTTATTTGGTTGCAGGTGGACCCCTCCACCATACGAAGCTTGTTTGCCACCCCTTTCCTTAAATGGCCTAAGAAAAGGGGTAAGGTTATGTGGAGGTGTGTGAGGGCTGCCATTTGCTGGA